GTTGCAGCCTATGGAATCAACAGCATCCTCTACCAGCGGGGCATCTACCCCCCCGAGACCTTCACCCGCGTCCAGAAGTACGGGCTCACCCTCCTCGTCACCACCGACCCCGAGCTGAAGAACTACCTCAACAACGTGGTGGAGCAGATGAAAGGTGCGGGGCGGGTGCTGAGGGGGGGCTGCGGTGCCCTCCGTCTGGCGTCTCTGCTGATGCTTCCTATCTTTCTGGCTTCTTTCAGAGTGGCTGTACAAGTGCATCGTGCAGCGCCTGGTGGTGGTCATCTCCAGTACCGAAAACAACGAGGTCCTGGAGCGGTGGCAGTTTGACATAGAGTGTGACAAAACTGCAAAAGATGAGACGTGAGTAACCGGTGTTGTGTGCCTGCTCTTCCTGTGCAGGCACCAGAGGAATCCCGTGCACATCAGCGTGTTCTTCAGAGCAGATGGAACAGCCTTTCTAAGTATGAGCATCAAACCTTAGCAAACCTACTACCTTTCCTACTCCCATTCCTCTTCATTGTCTGCAAAGCAGTCGTTATATGATTGAAGCATACATAACCCTCAGGTGTGCTTTTCTGTTGGTTTTTTGTGGTGTTTTTTTGTTTGTTTTTTTAAAAAAAATCAGATTAAAACTTAATTTTACATCTTCAACAAAATATACAAAATCCAGCATTAGGTACATGCCCTAAATAATGAATGCCTTCCTGTTGCCTACATGTTTTTATCCATTCTGGGCTGAAAATAACAAGTAACATCCCTTACAAATCTGTGAAGCTTCACAAACAAGGGAAACCAACTATCACTTAACTTTTCTAAGTCTGCTTCCTAGGGCTTAAGCCCCTCTTAAGAGTGCCACGACTATAAAAAAATCCTGTTTAAAGAAAACCATCAGTATAGTAGAAGCTTGCTTTCTTAACAGCATTTTCCTGTTTTTTCCAGTGCACCACGAGAAAAATCCCAGAAAGCTATTCAGGATGAAATTCGCTCTGTAATCAGACAGATAACTGCCACAGTAACTTTTCTGCCACTGTTGGAAACTGCCTGTGAGTATTCTTAACTCCACTAAAGAAATCCAACATTTGTTTTGGAAAACCTCAGAACATTTCTGCTTTAGAAATATTTTCTGCTGATGTTCTGGGGCTTTTTAAATGATTACATGTCATATACCATCACATTTCTGAGACAGCACCTTTGTAGGACTAAGATTATGTCTCTTGCAATTGTGTACAGATAAAATACTTTTAAGAATTACCCCTATTGTTTCTTGCACAACAAATAAAAATACTGTGAACCATCTCTCAATAAAGGATATGGAGCAACTTCATTTAAAGGCCCTAGTGGTACTTTCTACACAAAATACTTTAAGATTTTTTTGTCAAAAGGATAGAGCTCAAAGTGGTTTAACAAACTTAAACTAGCATGGATATTCTGAGGAACCTAAATTTTCAGAAATAATAGATTATTTTCTGACTCTAGCTGTAGACAGGCATTAAGTAACCATTAAGTTCCTATGAAGTGTTAGGTAGAGATCAGCTTAACAGCATTCCAACACCTATAGAAAAAAATCACATCGCATTTGCTTCAGAAAACTAACACGGCTACACATGAAAACAACTAAGACTTGTTTTCATTACTTAACTACTATTTCTTTTCACATAAGTAGTATCAGTACAACTTCCAAAAGTTCTGGTACATGTCTCAAGTTCTAGCAGGTGCACTTCAAACATGCAGTCTTAAGCAGGCATTACTGTTAACTTGTTCCCACTTGCTTACAGGTGCCTTTGACTTGCTGATATACACGGATAAAGACTTGGCAGTGCCAGAGAAATGGGAAGAGTCAGGACCACAATTCATAGCCAATTCAGAAGAGGTCCGTCTGCGGTCCTTCACTACTACAGTCCACAAAGTCAGTAGTATGGTGGCTTACAAAAAGGATTCTTTCCCCTGAGACGGGGGTTTTGTATATATTGTGTTACCTTGTACATTTTCTGTTTCTAGTGCAGCTAAGTTGTGAACACATCATTACTGTTGCTCTTGCTGAATGATGATGCAGAAAAAAGGCAACATGTTTCTGTGATAATGTGGTGTAACACTAGACTAAGCTGGCATTGTTCTTGAGGTTTACATAAGGTATTCATGATAGTTTAGCTCATACTGTTAGTTAAAATTCTTACTCAACTGTATGTTAAACTGCCACATTGACTAGAAACACTGCCTAAATCTAGGATCTTTTAATTTAGTATTTTAAGATTACTATATACTGCATTCTATTAGCAGGCTTAAGTTCTCTCTGGCACAAAAAAAAATAAATCTCATTCCTGACAGCCAGTTCTTAATGTTAAAAGCCTGAGCTGTGGTTACCAGAAATGAATCAACAGCACAATTCTGTAGTTAACTTGTAGCTCTTTACAATGAAAACAGCTGCTTATCAGGAAAATCTTAAAATATATGAAGCCTTGTACATTAACAACTGCTGGACTCTTCAAAGTGTGGTGTTCAAAGTTCATGTATGTCTCCAGTATTTGTCAAGCATTTTCTATGTTTGTATTCTTGTTTTACATAATAAAGCTTGAAATTGTATAGTGTTCTCTAATTCAGACTTCATCGTTTAGATAGCTTAATGAATGCTACATCAGTTAATAACTTATTCAACTAATACCCCAATGGAATCCTACTTACACAGTTAACTGTTTCCTCTGAGTCTCAAACAAGTGTTGTGGAGTAAATATGAAATCCATTAATGGGTTAATAGTTTGCCCCCATTTACATCTTTAAATAGCAGTATAAATAGATCCAGGGACCTAATGATTAAGCACACTCTTGCCTTCCATATTTGTTAAATAGCATTAAGAATGCATTTCCTGCCTTCTTAACCCATTTTTTTACTAGAAGAAATTAGGGATTTTAAATTGTGTTAACAGAACTTTCAGGGTCTTCCATGTTTTTGTTCATTCCCTTCATCAAATTCACTTGAGGCAGAGTATTTAAATTATCTCTCTCTTCTAGTGATATATTATTAGCAACAGTGGTATAATTTCAAAAATTTATTTATTAAAAACATTGATTATAGGTACTCTGCTGCTATATTACAAAGTTTCTGGGTTTTCAAACCAGGAGATAGTTATTTCCAGCAGTCCCAAATAAGCAAAGTGAAAAGGCAGACTGGTAGATCAGGACAAAATTGTGTGGTTTTTAAAAAAATAAATACAGTCTAAATACTGCAGTAACAGACCTACTGTCTCCTGCCTGTCAGCAATATTTTTTAACAGGTGACTGCTGCACTTACTCCTTTCCACCTAGAAGGAGGTGCACCTCAAGAAGTGCACCTTCAAGCACTTCCTCTGGCAGGGACAAGCTCAAAGCAGTGGGTGCAAGTCAACCCAAACTGAAATTTAAATCAGGAACTGACAAGTACTGTTTTATACCAAAGATGAAATCAGGAGGCAACTGGTACAAAGCCATCAGAAATTAGTAAAAAAACCACTTGTTTTACAGAGATGCAGAAGTCAGATTGTTCCAGGAAGTTCAAGTCACTTCTTTCTTGTGCCAAATACTATTTTTCTTCTTAAGGACCAGCCATTCTCCATTATCATCTGTGTATTTTTTAAAATATATTTTTTAGAGGCACCAACAGTCAAGAATCACAGTAAATCACTGCATAGAGATAATGTCCATGAAAACAACACGTGACAAGGAACACGGTATAAATCCTGAAGTTTTCACAAAGACCCTGCAGAACAGGAAAGAAAAACCAAAACAGTCGCATTAATGCAATGTCCCAGAAGCCAAGTCTTTATGGGGGTGTCCAGTAGGATTTGCTGATAGCTAATGGAACCCACACTCTACAGTAATTTCCCCTACAGTCGTAGGTCACTTCTGGAAAGTGCAGAATCAAAACCAAAGCAGACCCCCACCTCCAATAGCAGTATAGCTAGTCTTAGTAAACTGGCTAAAGGGTAAGACTTAGAAGTTAGACAACAGGCATTCCTCACCTCACTAGTTCAGCTGACGTATGAGCTTGTTGATTGCTTCACCTCTGCAGCCAGGCTTGCCCATTTCCTTGAGGAAACCCACTTTGTTACGTGAAGCATGACGAGCCACTGACAGATGGAATGGCCACAGAAAGTTTGTGACTCTCTTGAAATTCTTCCCAGCTGAGCAGATTTCATGAATAAGGTCTTCCAGGCAAATAATACCGCAGTCCCCTGCAGAAACAAAAACCTTAAACATTTAAGAAATCCTCAACAAAACAACCCTCCGCTCCAAACAACATATACACAAAATGTCCAACTGTACTATCTTTCCTCACACTACCACAAAACTGCCAGTCCTTTGTGAGAGTTTTCATCCTCCCCTCCCTCTTAGCTTAGACTAAAAATCTCAACATCTGCCTCTTTCCTTGATTTTCTTATCCTCTTCCTCACCTAAATACTTCTCTATCAGCATATTGTCTGTCAGAGGCATCCTCTTTCTCTTAATCTTGGCTTGGCCTCGTTTCAAGATGAGCTCTCGTACAGATTTCAGGTTAGGGTGTCTGTGTAAAAAAAAAAAGAAATCAGACCCTGTAATGGAGAAGCACGATGCAGCAGGAAGTTCCTTCCTGCCTGTTTGTATAGAGTTGGGAAAGTCAGCAATTATGTTTAGACCAATGAGAAAAAGGACAAATAGAAGTTTTAAAGTTGACAAAATTTTACTGGAAAAGCTAGCTATGGATTTCTGATACCAGACAGAGGATCAGAAAGTGATGCTATTCACATGCAAACTGCTCTCAAGTCACGGGTCTGGCACTTACCCCCACGCCACGTAAGGCTCCACAATCCGCAGCATCTTCAGGGATAAAGGTGTCAGCTTCACAAACGTTCCAGTGAAGTTTTTTTTCAGCCGCAACAACTCAATTACTCTTTTTACTCTCCTACTCACTCCCTTAATACTGAGTCAGAAAAAAATATATTAGTAACCACATTTCTCTAACACAGCAACAAAAGTTCTCAGATTATCTGCAAAAAGACACGTTTGGGCTGATCACCCTTCCTTTGCTTAGTAATTATATGACAGTTACAAAGAGCAGCAACGATGGAGTAACTGAAGTTTCTTACTCTACAATCCGCACCACAAAGGCCAATTTGTGCTCCTGAGGTACAGCCACAGCCACCTGGCCAGGCCTCTGCTCCATGCGCCTCAGCCGGACGTTGTCTCGGTGTTTGCACCATGAATCTCGAACAAAAGCCTCAAGGCGTTTAAACTGGATTTGCTTCCCCTTCTGGTGCTAAAGACAAAAGGATAAGAAATAATCACTCTTCACAAAAGTTTTCAAACTTCACATTTCAAAGGCTGTATGAAATTCAGAACTTGGTCAACTACCCTCTTTCAGTTTTGGAGGCATTAAGAAAGAAATAAATTCAATAATCTGAGCCCACGGGAGACACAACAGAGGGACAACATATGAATATTCAAGCAGCTAGCTGTAATTACTGAACTGTGAGCAAGGAGTTTTTCCCAAGAAAAATTTAATTAAGTAAACAGAGGAAGACCCTGGATACTTCTAGGCACAGAAGAAATCAATAGGAAGCATGTGAAGCCACAGATAGATAGATCTTCACAACAACATACACAGCTCAGCCAGTCACTGGGAAAGCCAGCAACAACATATGTACCTAGGTAAGACAGATCCTACAGCAATACCCTAGCCTGACTCAAAACTACCATCCAGCAGAAAATTACTGGGTGTGAAGTCCTTTTCTATAAAGGCGTCTAAGCAAAAAAAAATTAAAAATCCAAGAACGAAAGTAACTATTATGGATTACTAATTTAAACACAAAACATTCAACTCTTAAAAAAATATTTGGGAATGCTATGGGATAATTTAAACCTTTTAAATTAAAAAAATATATTAAAGTGTCTATCCTTAGCTCAGGAACAAGTATATCCATGGAACTGAATGTGCATGGTAGTTACTCAGTACTATTTCAGATACACTACTGGCTAAATTAATAGGCCATTTAAAAATTAAAGTACCTACTGTTCTGTGTCTCTTGTTCTATTTCCCCTTGTAAATCACCCCTTAAATTGGTTTGAATTTTCAAAGCAGGCAGACCTGATGAATTTCTCTTCAATAGGGTTATTTTTCTAAAGAGAATCTTAAGAGGTGGCTATTTAACATCACTGCTTACCCTTCCACTGTCACCTTGCAAATACAGCAAGCCATTCATGTATTTATAAACATAAACACAGTGCCTAACAACAATTATACGAGTTTTGCACATAATCCCACCACCAACATAAAGAGATTCACTGGAAAAGTTTAAGCCACTTCCGAGACACCTGCTACATTAGCTGAGATACAGCAGAATAGGTCTCAGATTCTGAAAGAGAAGAGTTTGCTGTTCTCACCTAGTCTGGAAACCACACAGTGTGCACCAGGAGTCCCTGCACTAGCAACATGTGCCACCCTACTCGCAGAAAAAGGCTTCACAATGACCTGTCTACCCTTTTACAGATTCATAGACAGTTAACTCTGAACGCATCGTCAGACAAGCATCTGCATTAAGGTTTGCAGTCGAAAGGTGAGCTGGTTTCAGACAGCGCAACCCCATGGCAGTACCAAAGACTCAGCGTTTTACTAGGTATGACTACACAGACACACACCTCACTGATCTAAGAGTCTTCAATAAATTTGTTTTTCGGTATAACAAGCCAAAAACTTGTGTCCTTTTTACAGAGACCCATGGGGAAGACGCTTAACACCTGCAGAAATGAACTCAAGCTTCCCCTGAAGAGATAACCCAGAGGATTATCAGTCTCAATACACACCCAGCAACGGCCTGACTCCCTCCCTGGCCCACCCGGCGAGCTCCGGCACCCCCCTCACGGGGGAAGCTCATCCCCAGATCGTTGATACGGCCGCACGGCATCACGATTCCGAAGCACCGCAGCTCCTCCCCGGGCACT